ACAAAGTTGTTTGGAGTGGGGGAGAAAGAGATTAGAAAGAGAGATGGTGACAGTGACAACAGAAAGTGATAACATGGTGACAGACAGTAAAGTTTAGAGCCTCACAGCAACAGTTTTATGTCATTGGTCGTTCACCATAAATGTGAACATTTAAATTTCCCTGAATGTATTGTATTTTCTTTCTTTTGTTCTTGTCTTTTATCCTTTCATCCTTTCCCCTACCTTTCCCGTTTGCATGTTTTTTCTGCCTTTGTGCCTCCTCTCTCCCCAGAATGACGCCAGCAGTTTGACGAGATGAAGAGTGAAATGAGTAAATGAGTCATTAAAGATTAATCTGCCACGTCCCCATTGTGTTTAATTGCGCCGCTAGGTTTATGGGACAGCAAAAAATCAGCCAATGACATTAAATTAAGATGTCGAGAGGGGCTCGGATAGAGACAGATAGTGAGACAGGAGGTTTTGACTATGAGACTATTACACAAGATTATGGCTTTTGGATATATGAACACAGCCCTTGGCACAAATTGTTATAGAGGCAAGTGGAATGAGATTTTTGCAGAGTGGGGAATCATTAGTGGACAATAACTTGAAGATCTTTAATCTGATTCTGATGGAGCTAAGTGGTCCTCTACTGGGAGCCCTCGGATCACATCTCTGCCTCTTCAGTCAAGTCTCTAATCATAATGATCAATTTGGCAAACAAGGCCAACTCTGCTTCATGATGAGGATTTTAACACTGAACTTGGCAGCTTTGCGTGTTGATGGCTGTTAGATCCTGATGACAATATAAAGCTGTTTTGAACTTCTGAAGTCCTGTGAAGTGATTTCATTTATGTCAACAAAGTTTTTTCACAGCAGCCTAACATTGTTGAAACAGAGCCGCTAATGTTGTCATAGCGAGAGCAACAAGTTAGCAAAGTGAGATACCCTGCCAGGTTTGTCTCGTTTCCAAAGTATTATCCCATCACAGCATTTTTTACATATGTCATGTGATTGTCTGTTGACTCGTCTTTTCTCCAGAATCCCAAATATTTCCACACTGCTGATTTATTCCAGAGGAAGGAGTGAATATCCTCAGCAGCTTTTTCTTGGTTGTTTGCCATTATCTGTCTGGCGCTGTTTCACGGTGACAGAGATGTGCCTTTGGAATTTAAAAATAATGGTATATCTTAAAGACGATGATATGGATGCATTATTTCACTTTGCAATCAATGACATTGAGTCACTGATCTCCAAATCGGTCCAACAATCCAAAGCGATGGATCCTTGCACCCCTAATTAAAAACAGTTCAGTCCTTAAGGATTTATCAGGAAAAATTAGACCAAACATTGCTAATGAAATGAGTTCAAGGGACTCATTATGTGCGGGATTCTTTAATTCCTTATCAGTAACCAGGAGGCTGGTGAAGGGAGCAGTCAGATTCAGTTGTCATGAGCCCATCTTTCTTTGCACTTTTGGGTTTGATGTTCGGAGTTCGACGTGTGGAGAATCCTAAAGTGTAAAGTTCAATCTGTCTGTGGCCCCAAGCGCTCTCATCCCTGCTGTAGACATAGATCATACGAAAAAAAGAAAAAAAAAAAAAAGAAAAATCACACATTCACAATTTTTAAAACATGCTCTGTACTTTCCTAAAATAGCTGGGTACTGTGGTTTTGATGAAACATTTGCTAAACAGGAGTAAATAGTGTTTTTGTGTGGTACTGTTGTCAATCAGGGATGAATACACATTTGGTTCTTCGATAACCATGTGCATTATGATTTAGAACATGTTGTGCAGTGCAACAGTATGACTCACCGATGTGTTTTAAATAGCTTTTGAACAACAATGGAGCTCTATGACACAGAAGAAGAAGATTAATGTATATGTCAGGCTTATGTTAGACACTTGTCAGAGGGAGCAATTCATTGTTTTTATGGGATTTGTCACCAGTAGGATAAATATAGAATATTGCCTGTGTCTATCCTTAGATTCTATTCTTCCTAATAATTCAGTACTGAAAAACCTTAGATACTTTTTAATCAACCAGGACTGAAACTTTAAGAATCCTAAGAAACTTTGAGTGTACTCTAGAAGTAGTGAGTCAAGTATTTAAGCACCATCCTTTTGGTACTGCATTCACTGTAAAGTCAGGCCATTTGCATATTGTCTACATGTGAGTCTTTGATTAGACCCACGAGTTGTTCACTCCCACACTGTTGAGAAAATCAATCATTCCTTCTCTCACTCTGAACTCACGGCTAATGCGAGCCAGATCTTGTGTCACTGAGGAGCTCCGCAGGGGGCCGTGAGTAATTCGGAGAGTCGGTTGTTGTTTACACGGACGTCACTCAGTCATGTGGAGAACTACGATAACTCATAGTGATTCAGATGAGCACCTGCGTTCGTGGCTGATGTTGATTGAAATTTTGCTTTCATCACATTTGTGAATGAATTTAATCCTTTTTAAAGAACACTTGACATGCACACTGCAACACTGTATAGACCGTTTCAAACTGAACATAAACATTCTAAATGGGTCCCTTTGTATTTCCTGTTTAATGTATGTTAATGCAGAAGCTGACAGGAAGTAAACAGGGACCAAAGTTGTTGCCCTAGCAACAGAATAGCAATGAAACGGTCCATACACATAATAACCAGCACTATTCTTTAACAAAGTAAAGGTCTCATAACACTGTTCTTTTCAAGCCTTTTCTAAAGTGGCCCTTCGGTAATAAAATCAAGAGCAGTATTGTAATTCATACAGGAACCAAACAGTGCAAACAGCAAGAGTGGCCCAGTATACACAGGAGTATTTATGATTACAACTCATCGTTGGCCTGTGAATGATAATGAATACTACCATTCACTGTTAGTTCATTCATTAACACTTTGACAGTATTTAATAACAGCTACTGTGGAACCTTGACTCACTGTAGATTAATCATCTCATCTAATTATGGGCCCGGTTCGTGCTGTCAATAACAAACAGTAGATCCCTGAATGAATACCTTTCAATTACTTTTTTTTTAAGTTTTAGTTCATTTGTTTCATTTCAAAATACAAGTAGAGACTATAGTCAAATTCAGACCAATGTACTGAGCAAAGGGTTATCTCTGGGTCTGAGAAGCAAAGCCAATGTGGAAGTGCCTTAATGTCAGGTTCACACTACACGATATCAGCCCGATTATAGCCCGATGCAGTGTTGTACGGTGTCGGCTCGGATTGTGAACGACAATGAGTACACAGTAATCCATCGTTTCATCTTGTGTAGTGTGTCATAGCAGATGATAACCGAAGCCACATCTGGGATGCCTCACTACGTTCTTACAGAAAGTCTAGCATGTTTGATTTTCTTTTTGTCGTACATGACTGCTCCCATCACAGCCGTCACCTTTACCAATTGAAACACAATCTGCGTGGACAAGTGTGTCAACAACACCCCAGGGTTTTTGATATTTCCTCTAGGGATGTTACCACACAGAGTAAAAAGGGAAAAAATATGGCGTGAAACAGTCTTTATCAACTCAGTGAGTACTGTCATTAGCATCAAGCTAGCAAAGAATGTTATTTCTTTATAATGGAGACGGACATAAAGTAAGAAAATTAAAAAATAGGGGCTTTTACACACCACAACTGCAGAGACTACCAGCTTCATTTGAAACAAACTACATTATAAACGGGCCGTTATTCATTATTCTCTCTGTAGTTTTATATATTTACTTTTTATCCGCTCCTGTTTGCCTTGACAAAGTTAATGCACCGCGCCATCATTTCAAACTCAACACTTCCTGTATCTGTTTTAAATTTAAAGCCCCTTATAACTTCGGTTGAGACAATCCCTTCATTTTCTAAATAGGCTTTTATTATGAAACATTTGCAGGAACTTGTTGTGGATGATTCAGTGACTTGTATGTTTGCGTACGGTGCTTCAAATGTAGCTCCTGCCATCTGGTGACACTTTTTACATTACTACAATAACATTTCAGCTGGCACATGAACAGACACAGTCATTGAAATAATAATAATACTAATAAAAATAAGACAAGAATAACCCGATGACATCACACACGTTGTCAAAGACGACCATGGATGATTGGTTGTGGACCATCATGTAGTGTGTCATGTCTGTCGGCCAAGTCACGGGACGATTTTATGACTCCACAATCTCCTAATCTGACTGTCGAAACACACAAAAATATTTTGTAGCGTGAACCCAGCATAAACTTGCATTCTTTCTAATGGCCAGCAGGGGGTGACTCCACTGGTTGCAAAAAGAAGTTGAATTGTATGGAAGTCTACGAGAAAATTACCCGAATTCTCACTTGATTTATTCCCCCAATAAACATTTTCCCAATGAGTTTATGGTCTCATTTGCTAGTTTCACATGTTCTTCAGCATGATGTTCATTTTGTAAATTATTTGATTTATGTCGACGTAGCTGTATTCAGTAGCCATTGTCTCATGTTTTTTGTTTATTTTCACAGTATTAGTTTTACTTTAAAATGGGAAAGGTTTACAAACTTTTAGTTTTTAAGAATTAAAAATGCCACTGCACTGAAGAACCTGTGAAATATGTTTAGTTTCACACAAAATATAAGCATAACCCTTTTAGTCCACGCTTATTTCTCAAAATTCCTTGAGTCTGTTAAAGTTTTACATAGGTGAAACGCTAGTCAGACCAACAGATGTTGTCTTGCCATCTCAGTTATCACAGGCCAATTATAGACAAAATCCATGCCTACAGCATGAATACATTATATTATAACCGTTTTTATATACTTAGCCATAGTAAGCTTGATGTTACTTTAATATATCAGACATAAAGTACCTCTTAGTTCATGTCTCAACTGATGGTTGCTAAGAGGGAAAATGAGAAAAGTAAATTGCTATGTTTGTTTGTTTGTTTTCACCTTAAGTCAAGTAGTCAAGAGGCAATTAAAAATCATTAGTGGCAAAATAACACTGTGGGAGATCAGCTCCTTAAACCATGAAAATGAACATTGATCTTTTCCTCCATAGGAGCGTGAGCTGTTGGGCCGGATCACCGAGTTGCAGGAGGAGGTCTCCAGGAGGAAGAACCACATCGCTCAGCTGGACCACCAGATCCACACGCTCAATGAAAATATCAGCACTCTGACTAAAGAGCTGGAGCTCAAGGGCAAGGAGGTGCTCAAGATCCGCAGCGAAGCCAATCAGCAGATCAGGTATGAGTCAGCGCTCAGAGCACAGCTGACATACAGAGCGATATAATATTGAAATCACACCCTCGGTTCAAACCTGAGCTCAGAGCCAATGAAAGGATCTGATGATACACAAGATAGTAATACTCTCATTTTGTTTTATATATGTCAGGTTTAAGTTATTGCAGTTGAAAGCACAGATTGATCTGAATATCCCTGCCAGACTGGAGCGTTCATGTGCCTTCATTTATATTACAAAAGCGACTCCTTACTCTTCATATCCTTTAAAAGCCAGGAGCTGCCAAACTGACATCATCCTCTGTATCCATGTCTGATACAAGACAAGACAAGTCCTCCGAGTTTGTCTCTTTTCTGTGTGTCACATTTTGTTGCTGAAATATTCATGGTCACACAGTTGGACTACTAGACCAGTGTGTTCACAATGCAGCTTATCAGAATACGCTGTAACCTGGCAACCAAAGTGCTGAATATTTTTCTCATGAATTCAGAGTGGTGGTCCTTGAGTTTCCCATTTTTCATCTTCTTTGCCTCCATTTTGGCAATAAGCTCTTGATATGGTTGTGTTTGTAAGTTCTGACTCCTCCATTAGTGCTGATCACTTGTCTCAGTGCAGCTACCAGTTAATAGTATGATGTATATTTCTGTTGACAGAGTTTGAGTTTCAAGAACCAGGAGTTAAAGTTTTAACTCTGTTTGAAAAATGCTTCAGCATATTGGGAAATATTGTGCTGAGACATATACCCTACACCTTAGCCTGACATGCATCTCCCCAGAGATGTAACTTTTATCCCCATTAAAGGGTTTTTTGGGGGGAGTTTTTTCCTTTTTCGCTGTGAGGGTCCAAAGACAGAGGGATGTCATATGCTGTAAAGCCCTCTGAGGCAAATTGTGATTTGTAATATTGGGCTTTATAAATAAAATTGAATTGAATTAACTACACATTGTGGCAATGCAGACCTCCTGTTTATTTATGTAAACTTAAAACCATTTCCCTCAGTAGAAACAAAGCTTTTATGTCATTTTATTTCACAGATAAGAAACAAATTGTAAAAGCAATAAAGCCCCCATAAAATACTAGGAAGAAACAGAGGGAGTTTGCTAGCTACTAGGCTGATTTTTGCAACAGGAAATGTCATAGGCTTATGCTAATAGTATTAGCATGTTGTAAATATGGGGGGAAATGTCAAGTACAAGACAACCTTGAGTTACAATGGAGCCAAATTTTATAACATTAGCTTTGTTAAATCTTGCTGTGGTTCCTGGCTTCATATAAGTAGAGAAAAGGTCCAATAGCTGCTAGGCGAATTTATGCTATGTGAAATAGCATGGGCCTATGCTAACAAAGTTAGCATGCTGTATTTGTTGGGAAAACTGTCTTGCAAAAGAAAACTGTTTTGTCTGTTAGCCTTCACTTTGCTGTCTGAAGTTGAAAAATCTGCCTACCAACACCTCCAATGATGTGCTGGAGGCAAATTTTAGAGGTGGCATAATTTTGGTCAATGGAAAGACTAGATTAGACGCAGATTCACCAGGGACGCTGCAAAAACATGGAAAGATATACTCGTAACCCTAAGCTTTATGAACCTGCTTCATAATTGTAAAGATACGAGAGAAAAAGGAATAAGACTAGATGGATTAAACAGAAAGAACTGGAGTTCTCGGTGAGTTGCTAGTTCGCTTACCGCACAGTTGGTATATTGGCTGTTTGGAGCAAATCAGCAGTCAAATTGGAACAAATGATACAAGGTGAAAATTTGCTTCCAGTTCTGTCTTAACACACTTTTAAGCTCACTAATGTTCAAGTCGTATCTTGTATGCCATAAACAGACAAGAATTTAAAAAGAGGCGATTGAGGAACAGCTGTTTATCCAAATAGCTAACACTTATGTGCAGAGCTTGTGGCTATAGTGCCATTGTCGTTTATACATTTTTGTTTGTGTATGGATTAAAACAAAGGAGATACATTGTGTTGTTTGGCAAAAGAGGTGTTAATAGACATATATTTGAACTTTAGATAGAGCCATGCTAGCTGTTTCCCCCTGCTTCCAGTCTTTATGCTAAGCTAAGCTAATCATCTCCCGCCTCCTGCTTTGTATTCAACACACAGACACAGAAGTGGTATCAATCTTCTCATCTCACTTTTGAAAAGAAGGTGAATCAGAGTATTTGCCCAAAATGCTGAATGATTATTTTTGGTGAATAAGTACAGAGCAGCAACATAAAAAACATTTCAGAATAGCCTTGACCCCTCGTTTTTTCAAAAGAAGCACAGAAATGCTCTCATCTCCTTTTGCTCTGCTCTTTGGTGTCCCATCATCAGTGCATGTTGCTGCATTTTGACTTCTTTTATTATATTTGGATGACGATATTTTCTGCAACCCCACTCTTGCTCCAAAACACAGCAGGATGAAAGAGAGAAAGAAAAAAGGCAGACGAGGCAAATCACTCCCTCTCTCTCGCTGTCTTTGTCTTCCTCTCTGTCTGTCTTGACCGGTGTCACGAGCCCATTGATTGGATGTGAAGGTTATTTAGGGTAAAAGCAAAATGGAATCTATAATCATGTCGCTCCCTGCAGGATGTTGGGATTTTTTTTAAGTGCTGTATAGCTAATGTGGTCCAGCTACTCATTAGAATCAATCAAGGACTTATGTGTGTGTGTTTTTTCCACCATGTTTGTACGTTATATGACTGCTCCCATGGTGCTTTGCTCTCTATGGCTCCTTCATGCGCTGTTAGTCTATATGTATATGCGTCCTCTTCCCCCTCTTTGCTGGCAGGCCCATGCGCAGCACATTTCTCCCTCTGTTACGTAACGCTCCGTCTGAATCCTGGTCACAGGGATAAAAATAGGCTGATAAATAAATAAAGAGGAAGCAGAGAGAGATAAGATGTGCGCCCCTCAGGGAGAGTTGGCCCAGTCAGAGTGAGAGGCAGACAGGCATCCATGCTTCTCCTTCATCCCTCACATCCCTTTCATCAGCCTTTTTCTCCTGCTCATTTAATTATTATCATCTTTTATTCCCATATTCCATCTTGCTCCTCTTTCTTTAGCTCCCTTCCACCTGCACCCAAAACTTCTACATTAAGAAGAAGAATTAATGACACACTTTCTGTGCATGTGTTTTACATTATATTGTACACTAAGTATACATATGTCACAGCTCATTTGTGTTTGGTGCATGTTCATACTGTCTTATTGTGTTCTGCTGTTAGTGCAAACTGGAAAAGTCTAATTACATTCATAGTATGTTTTCATACAATTATGTTCTAGGAATTCATTATGTGCATCTATCTCCCTATTCTAATCTCGCCAACGTTTCCTCTGTGGAACAGTCCATTATGTTCGCTCCTCCTGGGAGAGCCGGACAGAGAGCGGAGAGTCTGCAGGTCCTGATTAAGTCTTAAAGGGAAATGTCACCCATTTAAAAATATGCATTCTTCCTGAGCCATTAACGTCTTGGCCAGTGGTTTGCTTCACTCTGTCCTAAAGCTTGAATTGTGATTTCACTGGTACGGCTTTATTTAAACGGCTTCATAAATAGGAAGGATTATTTTTCTTTTGTTTGTTTGTGATGTAACGTGGCGTGACGTGATGTAATGTGACGAAATATGATGTGTCATGTGGCAAAAACATGATATGTAACAGCCATGGTCACCAGACTGTTAACATGATACCGCTTTTCTGTACTTTAATGATCATTGTGCAGCGTAAAATATGTAACAAAGTGTTCGTATATACAAAAATAGTAAGCTACAGGTGAAGAAAGCCTTGTATCAAAGTGTTAGTCATTGAAAGTAACTAAGTACATTTACTCAAGTACTGTGCAGACTTGTACTTCACTTGAGTATTTCCATTTGATGCTATGATGTTATGATCTTTACTCAGCGTTGATATGACAGCAATAGTTACTAGTTACTGTACAGATAATGTAATTTTAAGAACATTTAAATTGACATAAAGCAGTTAAATATGATGCATTGTTTTACTGTAAATTAAACAGAATTTAAAATTAGGTCCACCTCAACCAGCTACAACACCGAAATGCTTTGCACATGTTAAAGGGAAACTCAGCATTTTTCAACCTGGACCCTATTATCCCATGATTTGTTTGTGAGTGACTAATGGACACAATATATTTTTTTAATTTGCCCAGTATTGAGAGAGACATGGCAGCCACAGCAGCAAGCCAGGGTGCAGTATAACTCCTAAGGGCAACTGTGTGCTGCCAATTTACATTCATTACAAGTGCTTGTTTTTTTGCCACTGACAGGCTCAGATTGTTAATAGAAGTGTCATTATTGAAAGGCAGTGGCTAGCAACTCTTTACAAAAAAATTAAAGTAATCTAATTTAGGGGGCTTTGCTACTTTTTCTTCCTGTTAGTTTCTCTCTTGACCTTTCTTTCTCTTGACCTTTCTTTCTGTGATTCTGTAATGTTTTCACCATTGTTTTTCCTGCAGCAGGTCACTTCTCATGAGATTTCAGAACGAGACTTTTCCCTGAGAGAGACTTGGTCACAATAATAAACAAACCAGTGAATTGAGAGGAAAAATATTTCATTGCTCTGTGGGGTCTTTGCCATAATGTGATCAGACACTTAATAGAAACATAAACACTCTGAGCCTGTCAGGGACAAAACAACCACTTTTAAAGCCCAGTTCAGACCAATTATTTGTGACGAGACGAAACCACTTCAGAGTGTTGCAGAGAAAAGTTGCAGCGGTGTGAATTGGGCATCTGAGCTGGACTCAAGCTGGCTGATGGTGTCACCTGCAACTCAGCTAGTCAAATCACTGGCAACTGGTTTTAGAACATAAAGCACGGCACCTGTTTAAACAGCCAATCGGCTTGTAGTGAAGTCTGCTGGTCAAGTCAAAATGACGTAGACGGCGTGTTCGCTTGCTGCGGCAGATGCTCCGTCCCCGCCGTGCCCTCTGTTTCCATCCTCACAGTGTACTGTATGTGCTTATGTCCCCTCACACACACACACACACACACACACACACACACACATTCTCATTGACTTATTAATTGGTGCTGCTTACTTATATCATTGTGGCATATTGATTATGAATACAGTCAATCTGCTGCTTGTTTAATGATTTTCGCCATTTCATCACTACTACAAATGCAACTGTAGCCAGTATCTCACTGTCACTATCCTCATTCATATTTTAAGAAGCTACAAATCATATTCAGCCACAAAATAAGCCTGAAAAGCTGAAAATCAGAACAGAAGTACAGAGAGTTGTTGCATAGAGATGATACACCATCTCATCTACTTGCATTGGTGTGAATCGGCTTTTAGAACGCTGCAAAATGGTGCATTTCAAGTAGTTGCATGTTTCAGTTCATCTGGTGGAGAATCTTTGGTCTGAACTTGGCTTAATGGATGTAAATTGACGGTACACAATTGCCCATAGGGATTAGATTGTGGCCGGTTTCACGTCTCTGGACCAATTTTGAAAAACTGTCGTCTCCATCAGTCACTTAGACATTAAAACTTGGAAAAATAGGGTCCAGGTTAAAAAATGCCAAAGTTTACCTTTAATGCATCAGTAATAATGATCTAATGATATGTATTAATACAATACTAAATGGGGTCATACTTTTAGGTTTGATATATTAGTCAATTAAGCTGATAGTTTTCTGCCTTTACTTAAGGTGATATTTAATGTATAGGAGTATTTGTACATTGTTGAATTGCTACCATTACCTAAGCAAAGGATATGAATACTTAATCCACCACTGCACACTGTTGACTATTACTTTCCATATCAGGTCACATCAGAGTGTGTTATCGCTTCTATACCACGGCAGCTTTCTAAGAGAAGTTGTGTTCAAATTCCATATTTTTGTGGATCCACTAAATTATGTTTGCAGTGTCCTGTATTTCTAATAGGCACTTAGAAACTTAACTGTTCTCTGTCTCCTCAGGGCTCATGAACAAGAGTTGACGAAGAGGCACGAGAGGGAGCTCGCCGAAATGAGCGCTGTCCACAGCAGAGAGACGCAGAACATGCTGTCAGACTTCAACAAAGCCCAGGAAGTGCTCAAAGACAAGATCTCCGCCCTTCAGATACTGTATGTACACACTGTAAACACATCATGTGCTTATGTGCTCGTCAAACAGCTATGTAAAGACAGAGGTCTATGGCACAGAGGAGTAACACTTATATAATTCTTAACACATGACTGCCTCGTGCGTGGGTCAACCTATCCGTCCTCGATAATGTAATTATGTGTTGTCAGGTGCCAAATGGAAGCTTAAAGCAACAGACAGGTTTCCCCTGGGGAGAGTAACAGACGAAGCATTCACACCTGCATAAACACTCCTGGTTCCTACGGATTTAACTCTTTTTGTTCTCATCTTCTACTATCCATTTTTTTTTGTCCAGCAGATGATCAAATATGAGAAAAACAAGTCAAACACTGTGCTTTCCTTTTTTGTCCATGCAATGACCCACTCCATCACTGCGTCATATACACAATTAGGGCATATCTAAATACACTTCCAGCTGTTAGTCATATAGGAACAGGAGCATCCATGCAGTCTATTTTTACTTTTGTATGCGTCAGGTGAAGCGCAGTATAAATAGCAGGCGGCTGTGATGAATTATATTCTCCTCAGCTAATCATATTGCTTGTGTCATATGTTATAAACAGCTGCAGCAAGCACAACAGTGCATGACGAAACCGGCTCACCATGAAAGGCAGCGCCAAGAGAGATTTACCGTCGCACCCTCAATCTGTACCTGAGCCGCATTCTGCAGCAACGAATGCATTTCCATTTTCAACACAAAGAAAAACACAACAAGATAAAATGACTCCATGAAATCAAAGATAAAAACACAAATGCACAGCAATGTCTGGCACTCCTGAATTCATATTCATGTGGCGTAATGTGACTTTATGCACGCTCTCACATGGTTCTGCAGTGTAGAGTCTTTGATTTAAAAAACTCTATGGTGGTGTTTTTCAAACAACTGACTTCATTTCTGTACAAGGATTGATATGAAAAGTTTTCAGTTAATGAGTGAAATAATCCCAAGATTCATATCCCGGATTTCTGTTTCCTTTGGCATTTTGGCTTTCATACGTAGTGAGCACAGCCTCATGTGTTTATCTGATCATTGTCATGATTTGTTCATCTGTTCAGTCCAAACAGTGGCATCACATTGCCAACGTCACTGTTGTCTTAGCTGTTTAAACACACATTTCGAATGTTATCACTCTATTAAATAGACGTCAGTATAGATATGGGATAGAACAGTGGTTCCCAACTGGTGGGTTGTGGTCCAAAAGTCTGAATGGACCATAAGTGACACACACTTTATTTTAAAATAGAGTTTTCCGGCATGGCCAAACCCAAGTATGACTCTGAATATATTAAACTGTGTCGACCTTGAACTAATGACTAAGGAGAAATCTGGACCCCCTGACTAGACTAGTTGGGAACCACTGGGTTAGAAGTCTCCTGCTACACTAACTAGCATGTTTAAGATGCATTTATTGACTATTAAGCTGCAGTTGGCAGAACCTTATGTTTCAGTAACGCTATGGTCTGTGTCCGAAATTAACTTTTTGACTTACCAACCAAAGGGGCTGGTAGATAAAAACAATAAATTGCCCTTTTGTGTTACATATACATGTATTTAAGTGCATTTAATTGAGATAAAAAGGTATTATGTTGAATACAAACTTAAAGAGACCAGAGCAATCATCACCACAATGCCATCACCAGAGCCTCAGCATGTGAATAGGTTCCCTCTGTTAAGCAGTGATGCTGTGTGTATGCCTAGAGTTTTTAGGAAGCTGTAATGCGCTGCTGTTTGCAATGTGGGAGGCAATAAGAAGTTTGCTGTCTTAGTTCAGACCAGGGAGCCTCGATGTTATTATTTTGTTACCTTTATAAGTATTGGCAACTCATAACCCTCGGCTAAACATTAGCAGTGCAGTAGCAACAGTGGACCGGCTTCAAGTGATATTTTCAGCACATCAGCTGATGTCCCGTACACTTATCAGTGCTTCAAAACTTGGGGTGCTTGAGACAATCATCTGTTGTGTCTATGTGTGTGTCTCTGAATCCCTGAAACTGACAGCACTGAAGCCGCAGAGCTGCACATCCCTAAATGATGTCAGAACGTGGTAGAACCTCAGCATAGTTTTTATCACGTCTATTTTAATACCAACATTTACCCATCAGTGTGGCAGGTAGCCTTCTCTGATTTACTCGCCAAAAGGAAAAGCTACCTGAATTTAGCGATTGGCAGGTGTTAATTTTGGACCCTAGCTGTGGTTAACATTTGGCTAGGTTTAGACACAAAATACTCTTTACTATGGTTTGGAAAATATCATGTTTGGCTTTAAACACCCACTTTTGGTGGCACAGTAAACTTAGCGATGGCTCACTAAAGAACAACCACGTTTAGGGGTTGAAACACCCCTGGAAACAGCTCAATGTCTCGCTAATGAGCAACCGGTTTTGTTGTTGTTGGTCCCGAGCAGTGGTCTGCAGCTTAGCAGCCATCTCACTTACACGTCACGCTATCCGCCGTTCAGTCAGTTCATATACAGTACATGTTGCCGCATTACAGAAAACACGGCCATTTAATAGCTGTTAACGCCATTCTCAACATGATCATGAGTGTGGCGCTAACCTATATCTATAATGCTGATAACCACGACTAATTCCTATTTAATAGACTAATAATGTTCGAACCAGGTGGTACAAACCACAAGTGTAACAGCCTTGAAAATGATCTAACACAGGAAACACTGTTTTTCTGACAGAGGCATTTTTGTTCATCATCTCTCTTTAAGCAGACAAGCATAAAGCAAATAATCATCAACCATCAAAAACATCCCTTACTCCCATAAATGCAACAAATTGAATTGTGGCTTTTCTCAGTGCTGTTGCCAGGATTTTAGAACTGCTGAGGTCACAAATACCAACAATACTCTTCATCGATTTGTTTGATCAGTTATGTTTTCTGCATTTTGTTTGTCCACGTGCTGTTTTAAAACATTTCCCACATTGCCAGGATAATACAGTACAGGCCAAAATTTTGGACACACCTTCTCATTCAATGCGTTTTCTTTATTTTCATGACTATTTACATTGTAGATTCTCACTGAAGGCATCAAAACTATGAATGAACACATGTGGAGTTATGTACTTAACAAAAAAGGTGAAATAACTGAAAACATGTTTTATATTCTAGTTTCTTCAAAATAGCCACCCTTTGCTCTGATTACTGCTTTGCACACTCTTGGCATTCTCTCCATGAGCTTCAAGAGGTAGTCACCTGAAATGGTTTTCCAACAGTCTTGAAGGAGTTCCCAGAGGTGTTTAGCACTTGTTGGCCCCTTTGCCTTCACTCTGCGGTCCAGCTCACCCCAAACCATCTAGATTGGGTTCAGGTCCGGTGACTGTGGAGGCCAGGTCATCTGCCGCAGCACTCCATCACTCTCCTTCTTGGTCAAATAGCCCTTACACAGCCTGGAGGTGTGTTTGGGGTCATTGTCCTGTTGAAAAATAAATGATCGTCCAACTAAACGCAAACCGGATGGGATGGCATGTCGCTGCAGGATGCTGTGGTAGCCATGCTGGTTCAGTGTGCCTTCAATTTTGAATAAATCCCCAACAGTGTCACCAGCAAAACACCCCCACACCATCACACCTCCTCCTCCATGCTTCACAGTGGGAACCAGGCATGTGGAATCCATCCGTTCACCTTTTCTGCGTCTCACAAAGACACGGCGGTTGGAACCAAAGATCTCAAATTTGGACTCATCAGACCAAAGCACAGATTTCCACTGGTCTAATGTCCATTCCTTGTGTTTCTTGGCCCAACCAAATCTCTTCTGCTTGTTGCCTCTCCTTAGCAGTGGTTTCCTAGCAGCTATTTGACCATGAAGGCCTGATTGGCGCAGTCTCCTCTTAACAGTTGTTCTAGAGATGGGTCTGCTGCTAGAACTCTGTGTGGCATTCATCTGGTCTCTGATCTGAGCTGCTGTTAACTTGCGATTTCTGAGGCTGGTGACTCGGATGAACTTATCCTCAGAAGCAGAGGTGACTCTTGGTCTTCCTTTCCTGGGTCGGTCCTCATGTGTGCCAGTTTCGTTGTAGCGCTTGATGGTTTTTGCGACTCCACTTGGGGACACATTTAAAGTTTTTGCAATTTTCCGGACTGACTGACCTTCATTTCTTAAAGTAATGATGGCCACTGGTTTTTCTTTAGTTAGCTGATTGGTTCTTGCCATAATATGAATTTTAACAGTTGTCCAATAGGGCTGTCGGCTGTGTATTAACCTGACTTCTGCACAACACAACTGATGGTCCCAACCCCATTGATAAAGCAAGAAATTCCACTAATTAACCCTGATAAGGCACACCTGTGAAGTGGAAACCATTTCAGGTGACTACCTCTTGAAGCTCATGGAGAGAATGCCAAGAGTGTGCAAAGCAGTAATCAGAGCAAAGGGTGGCTATTTTGAAGAAACTAGAATATAAAACATGTTTTCAGTTATTTCACCTTTTTTTGTTAAGTACATAACTCCACATGTGTTCATTCATAGTTTTGATGCCTTCAGTGAGAATCTACAATGTAAATAGTCATGAAAATAAAGAAAACGCATTGAATGAGAAGGTGTGTCCAAACTTTTGGCCTGTACTGTATGTCCTAATATTCCCTTTGTTATATTTTAATTTACATTCGGATTTATCATCTAAATGCAATAAAATGTATCAAACTTCAATCTGAAAACTATTAGAATCATATTTTGAAACCCACCATGTGTAGATTGTGTATAAAACATACATTTGGAAATTCCTCCTCTTGTAATTAAACTTAAATTCTTAGACATGACCACGATGTTATCAGTGGTACAGGAGATATAACCCTGTCTGTTGTAAAGAGTGGCTTCCCATGAACCAGTCCCATTGTTCTGCCTATTTGATTGGAATCATAGTTTATGAAGATGAACGACATGACAGCTCCTCAGAAGTGAAGACAAAACATCTTAATCGCTCTCTGATGGCTGGCTACAGTGAAGGTCATTAACTACGCCTCCTCTATAAT